GATTAAGCCACACCATAAAACAGCAATAAGTCGGTCTGAGGCAAAAGTGAACATCATGGCTATATCTTGTCCCCTATAGACATTTGATTACGCACAAGTAGGTGATCCGTTCAGGTTTACGCAGAGCAGAGGGAAGGAGAGCGCTCTGGCCGCACAGGTTAAACGTTCCTACTTTAAGAAAACCGTTAAATTGCATTCTTTATGTGCTACCTGGGCACATAAAGGAAATTGTAATGGTATCAAATGTTTATTAATCACTATTTTAAAAATGAAAGTGATGGGGAATTTTTTTAACCCTTTCTGTTTAGCTTGGTCGGGACATAGAAGGGGGTGCGCGGCTAAATAAGTTTGGGAACCACTGCTTTAGACAGTAGTTTGGGGGGGTTGAGATTATAGAAGCCGAAAACCCTTGGTGGTGTTTGTAGTTCTATTTTATTGAGCTTAAATTTTTGCTTGACTACAGATTTAATTTGGTGGTATTCTAAAAAGCTATTCTTATCTATTCCAAATTGGGAGACTATTCTATTAAATGGGATGAAGTCTAATCCTTCATATATGTGTTCCAGGTATAGGATTCCTTTATTTTTCCAGTCCGGAAGGTTCATCATTTTATTATTTTGCGAAATATCAGGATTATTCCAGATAGGTGTGCGTCTGCATGGTACTAGTGAAGACTGTCATTTTAAGATACACCCACCATGCTGTCAGAGAGGTCTCTCTCATCTCATCTTCCACTTTCTTTAAAAGTGGGATGTGTTTTAGTTTGGTTAGATCTGCTAACTTGGGAGAGATATTAATTCCCTGGTATGATATTCCCTGACTCCAATTGTGTATTAAGTAAATTAACAAAAGATAAATTAATTGGTAGAACTGTGGATTTTAACCAGTTTATAGAGTAATCTGAAACTTTTGAAAAAGAGTTTATCAGTTCTATTGAATGAGAGAGAGAGATGATTGAGAATTCCGGAGAAAGAGTAAAACATCATCTGCATAAAGACTGATCTTATGTTCTATTTTCTTACACTTTATTCCTTTAATACCTGTTGTTTGCCTAATTGCTGCTGCTAGTGGTTCAATAAAGATAGCAAACAGTGAGGGGGAGAGTGGGCATCCCTGCCTGGTCCCCCTCTGAAGACAGAAGCTAGCTGATATTTGGTCGTTTGTCCTAACACGTGCAATTGGTGAACTGTATAATGTTTGTAGCATGTTTATGAAGAAGTTCCCAAACCCAATTTATGTGAAGTTTCAAATAAGAACTTCCAGTTAACTCTATCAAAAGCCTTTTCTGCATCTAGAGATAATATACTAGTTTCTGTTTCTACTGTAAGAGAAATCTATCAAATTAAGTATTCTACGTGAGCTAGTGGATGATTGTCTGCCCTTGATGAAACCAGTTTGGTCAGGGTGTATTATGCAGGGGTTACCTTTTCTAATCTTTTTGCCAGGGCTTTACAAATTATTTTGAGATCAACATTAATAAGAGAAATTGGGCGATAGCTGGTTGGAAATGCTGGGTCTTTGCCTGGTTTTAACAAGAGACTAATATTGGCTGAATTCATGTTTGGCTGTAATCTGCCGCTCTCTGCGATATCCCTCACCATTCTGAAAAATATTGGAGCCAGAATGATCCAGAATTCTTTGTAGAACTCTGCTGGGAACCCGTCTGTACCTGGAGCTTTCCTATTAGTCATGGATTTAAGGGCTTCCTGGAGCTCCGCTGATGTTAGTGGCAAGTCCATGACTGTAACTTGGCTGTCTGATAATTTAGGAAGTGTTATCCTGTCAAGGAACTCATTGATCTCGTTATCTGATGGGTTTATCTGTGGTGAGTACAAAGTTTGGTAAAAGTCTCTGAAAGTGTTGTTTATTCTTTCAGGGTCATAAACTATATTCCCGGTTGAGTCTTTAACGGCAGATATGGTAGTTTTCTCTTTATTAATTTTTAGTTGGCTGGCCAGAAATTTACCGGATTTATTACTATGTTCAAAGTTTTCTATTCGTAGTCTTTGTGCTAAAAATTGTGTCTTTTTGTCAATGATTCCATGAAGTTCTAATTTAGCTTTACGTAATTTGCTCAGTAACTCTTCTTCTGTGGATGCCTCTAAAGCCTTAATGATTTCCTCTAACTCCTGAATATGTTTGTTTTTTCTGTTTTTTTCTTATGTGATGAGAAAGAGATTATTTTACCTCTCATCACTGCCTTTCCTGCCTCCCAGAGAACAGATGCTGATGTTCCAGGCAGGTCATTATGTTCTAAATATAAAGCCCACTCCTTTTTAAAAAATTCTATAAAACCTTCGTCTTTAAGCAGTGATGTATTACTGTAAACCTCCAGTTTTTGATTGGTGGGATTGTCTTCTTATTTACCAGAGTTAATGAAACCAAAGCATGGTCGCTGACGACTATGGGGTGTATCTCAGTGTCTGAAATGTCAGCCAACAATGAGCTGCTGACTAGAAAATAATCCAAACGTGAATGAGAGTGATGGACGTGTGAGAAAAAAATACTCTCTACAGTTAGGATGAAGAGATCGCCATGCATCACAAAGCCCATAATCACTCATGTACTGTTTAACTATGTTAGTGGATTGCCAATTGCACTGAGTCCCAGCTGTACTGAGCCTGTCTGTTAAGGAGTTCATCCAAAAATTAAAATCACCTCCAAGTATAAGTGGACAGTCCAAGTGTTCGGAGAGTACAGAGAAAAAATTATGAAAGAATGATGGGTCATCAATATTTGGACAGTATATGCTGACAATACATAAGCTTTGGTTCTGTACAGATAATTTTAACATTATAAATCTACCCTCTGGATCTGAAACTGTGTCCAATACTGTGAAATTGATGTTTTTGTGTATTAAAATAGCTACACCTCTTTGCCTAGAGTTATAGCAGGCAGAGAACATGCTGGGAAACTCAGGTGTTTTAAGTTCATCTGCAGATGTGGCAGATCTATGAGTCTCTTGTAATAATATTACGTCTGCTTGAACTCTCTTTAGCTGATCAAAAATCTTTAATCTTTTCTCTGTGGAGCCAGCTCCATGTACGTTCCATGAGACAAACTTTAGTGCACCCATAGATGTGTGTGTGAGTAGCTAAAATGTGGCGTCTTCATGTGAATAAGATGGAATAAGTATCTAAATGTATAGAATAGTACGTTAATAAATAACAGAAAAGTAAATAATAATAATAATAATAAAGATCCAACAGTGTTTGTGGTTGTATTATTTGACACATAAATTATGATATTGTGCTGTGGATTTAATATATATATATTTGTGTGTGTGTGTGTGTGTGTGTGTGTGTGCGTGTGTGTGTGTGTGTGTGTGTGTGTGTGTGTGTGTGTGTGTGTGTGTGTGTGTGCATGCGTGCGTGTGTGTACGTGTGTGCGTGTGTGTGTACGTGTGTGCCGAGTCTGACGCAGTGTTGGAACGTTGTGTGGTTGTGCCATACATGTGTAAAGGTACAGAAGCAGGTAAAGAGGAAAGGAAAATACAGGTTAAAAACGAAGAAAGAACTAAAAAAAGGGTGATAGGGGTGTAAGGTGGTGATGTCCAGGTGATCTCATCATCTAGAAAACGGATTTAGCAGCTGTTTAATCCTGACGTGATCAAGCCCAGTGAATCCTGATAAGAATAATAAATGTCTGACCTGATGTTGGGCTAATACAGCCAGTCAGTCACTCCTCGCTCCTTGTAAAGTTTATCGTCCACATAAAGCTTATCCACCTAGAGGACAGCCCTCTTCCCATCCTGGATAAACTTTTTGCGCAGCGGAAAGGGGACTCGGCGCCGATCCAGGATTTCCATTTAGGAACTGGTCATTTACGCTGAAGTCTTTCCCTTTGAGCTCTCTTCCGTGACTTTTAACAAGATCCTTCTGCTCAAAATGTTCAAATTTAGCCACGTTGGGATGAGGACTTCTGCTGTCCACTCTTTTAGCTCCAAGGCAGTGTACCCGGTGAAAGGTGATGTTTTTTACCGTTTCTTCAGGTATCTTCATTTGGGTCTGGAGAAAGTTTTTTTATTGTTTGCTCGCAGTTCTCCGTCCCTCCCGACCTCTCCGGCAGGCCTGCGAACACCAAATTATCCCTCATGCTACGGGCCTGAAGGTCCAAAACAGTCTCCTTCAGAATCTTGTTGTCCTGGGTGATCCGCGTCATTCCCTCTTCCAGGGAAGAAACGGACTCCTGCAGAGACGCGTTCTCAGCGGCGAGCCGCTCCACCTGCTCCTGGATGAACTCCAGAGACTGACTGAGGTTCTGAAACTCCTGGTGTAGAACCTCAAGCAGATGAAGACGCCCCTCAAATCCCAGAAGCCATTTATCTATAGAATCTAATATGTCCTTACGGGGAGATGAGGCCTCAGGCGAGTCCTGAGGACGGCTCCTCTTGGTCCCAGGTGTTTCAGGCTCAGCTGCTGATTTCTTCGGACCCATAACGAATAACTCAAAAACTTCATCAATATAATTTAGTAAACTTTCTAAATTTTTTTCACTTACCTCCAGATTGAGTGAGTTATACTTACCAGATTGTTTTTTGCATTGTCAGTAGATAAATTAGGCAAAAATGTGTCTTAATTGTTTGTGGATGTTTGTTAACGAGCTGCCATCAGCTTCAAACGCTGCCGTGTATCCGGTGATCGGCCGTCAGCGCATGCTGAGCCTCAGCCAAAAAAAAACTATGGTTCTTTTTTTCAACTTTTTCCATCAGATTATTGTTACAATCAAATATGTATACTATGTAAAATTCAGAAGTCACTAAAAACCCATTGAATAACAGATACATATCTGAAAACCGCGAGGACATTGTTCTAAGTTGTTCAAAAATGTCCTGCGTGAGACATTCCCACATCTGCTAGTATGGCAGGCGTTGTTCAAACGCCTTTGCGAACATTGCAATAGGAGCAGACTAAGATTGAGTCCAGGTTGAAACTGTCATTGTGTTCCCAAAGGGGAGGAGATGATCATCTGTTGCTAACCATCAAATGGTTCCTTTCTAGTTACAAGACAATGCTAAACGACTCAAGCTGAGTGATGGTGCTGCTCTCTTTGTAACCAATGTGACCAAACCCGGTGGGATCAGGAGAAGCACCCGGCACAGGAAACTCCGAGGAGAAAAGGCACTCATTGTTTCAGCAAATCAGACACTAAAGGAGCTGAAGATCCAGGTGAGGGCTTCCCTACACAGGGCAAAATGCTGAAGAAAGGATAGTGTTTCCCAGCATGAACTCCTACCTTTCTGCCGATAGATCATGCATGCCTTCTCTGTGGCGCCGTTTGACCAGAACCTCTCCATCAATGGAAAAGGCCTGACGGATGATTCAGCCACACTGGGCAATCTGGGGGTCATCCCAGACAGCATCATCTGTCTGAAGGTAAGTGTGTGTGCGTCAAAGCCATAGAAAGATAAAGTTACAACAAGATATGCTTTAACCATTTAAAACAACAAACATTCAGCTTGGGGCAATAACCTGGAGAGGTGTGGTTGGGTGGAACGGCTCCTGTGATCTGAACCGAGAGGTGTTTTGTTATCGGACGTCTGTGCTAATCATGGATTCTCCATAATGAACACCATGTTCAGACATAAAGGTGTTCATATGTGCTCTTGGCACCTTAGGCCACAGCTCGGTGATGACTTTGTCATCTGATCTGATCTGCAGCCGCATGTCTTGAACACTCGGGTGAAGCTCTCAACTGACTGCCACCTGGTGGTGAGTTGGCTTCGATGGTGGGGAGGATTCCATTCAGACTTGGCAGTCCCAAACATGTGGTGAGTGTCTGCGGGGAACGTCTGGTGGAGTTTCCTGTCAGAAGAAGTTTCAATTCCTACCTCTGACAGAACTTCCAACTTCCGTGAAGCTGAAGAAACATTCCTATCGGGTCTTTTTGGCCTGTGAGACCCCAGAGGCAGCTGATGGGTACTGGCAGTCCAAGCATAGTGGTCGCGGAGGCACAAACCCCGGGCATAGGAAGAGTTCTATGAGACCATGGAGAATCAAAATCGGAAGGTTTTATTGCCATATGTGCGAGAATCACAACATTAGGAAATTGCTGCGGAGCATGACTTCCATACAGCTTCAAGGAGATTCTGATCTACCATCTGGGGCCTCAGGAGGGGAAAGCAGTGTTCTACCAACACTGTTTACAATGGTGACTGTGTGCTACTGACCTCAACTCAGGATGTTGTGGATCGTGGGTAGAGAACTTCAAAGACCTTCCGAAGATCTTCTGAATCCCACCGGCACATCTTCCAGTGAGAAAGCAGAGTCCAGGAACTTTGGGTCAGCTCTCTTATCTCTGGGGCTGAGATCATTGAGGTGGTCAAAAAGCTCCTCTGTGGCAATGCTCCAACGGTGGATGAGATCTGCCCAGAGTTCCTTAGGGCTCTGGATGTTTTAGGGCTATATTGGCTTGGCGTTGGTCCACATTGCCGGCAGTAAGCCAGGCTCTTTCTGGTTGGACTCCGCCAAGGCTGTCCTGTGTCACCGATTCCGTTCATGAAGTCTGTGGACAGGATTTTTAGGTGCAGCCAAGGTGTTGAGGGGATGCGTTTTGGTGGCCTAAGGATTGATTCTCTGCTTTTTGCAGATGATGTGGTCCTGTTGGCCTCATAAGAACGTGATCTCCGGCTCTCCCTGGAGCAATTCACGGCTGAGTGTGAAGCAGCTGGGATGAGAAGCAGATCCTCTAAATCCAACACCATGGTCTTCATTCTGAAAATGGTAGAATGCCTTCTCCAGGTCAGGGATGAGGTCCTGCCCCAAGTAGAGGAGTTTAAGTATCTTGAGGTCTTGTTCATGAGTGAGGGAAAGATGGAGCGCGAGATGGACAGCCGGATTGGTGCTGCATCTGCAGTGATGCGGGCGTTGTACCGGTCTGTTGTGGTTAACTCATTAAATGCCTGCTGTTTTCTGATCAGAAAGCCCCTGACTGCCAGCATTTTTGAGCGTTTTTACTGTTTTTTTTAAGAGTCACAGAACATTGTGCTCTATTGTCATATAAACACCTAAACTACCAAAAGAAAGAGTAGACTCACATCTTACAGCAGGAAGAATCAGCATATTTCTAGCTTTTCCGTTGTCGAAGTGTGAGCAGCAGAAGCTTTTCCGGTTTGCACCTCGCTTTTTTCCACAACAGCGTCCCAAAACAATCTCCTAATTCATGGATTTTCTGCTTCTTGATCACGTGAGGTGTGACAAACACGAGTGAAGATTTTCTCTAGCGGTGCAAGGGCTCGTTCCCATGCCCGCCATGTTAAAAGCAATTGACAAATTTTGTTGTCAATGGCAGAAAGCGGTTGAATTTAAAATGACAACTTTAATCATCCATGTCAGTTAATAAGTTAAGAAAGAGATTAGCCGGAAGGCAAAGCTCTCGATTTACCAGTCGATATACATTCCAACCCTCACTTATGGTTACGAGGTTTGGGTAGTGACCAAAAAAATTATATTACGGTTACAGGCGGCCGAAATTAGTCTTCTCCACAGGGAGGCTGTGCTCTCCCTTAAGCCTCTTTTATAAGACAGACCATCGCGTCATTACAGAGTGATTAATCCGAATTTGTGGGTCTCGTAAATGCGGCAAGGAGCAAAGGGGAAAGGTGATAAAACTCGATTCCGATGCGCTTAGCCTCGCAGTAATATTGCCGCATGAGCCCCTTGCCTCTGACGGCTAAACGCGTGTCAGCCCAGCTAATCCCTTTGGAGCGACTGTGGGAGGTCCCCCCGCAAAAGAAGGCGGTCGCGTTAGTGACGTATACTGTGCGCCGAGTGCCGGCCGGAAGGGATATAATCACAGATAAACATGGCCTCTCACTAGTATCTTTCAACCACCTACTACATGGCAAACTGGACGGACGCGGAGACCATGGAGCTTTTGGCCGTGCGAGCGGACGAACAGATTAGTCGCCTTTTTACAGGGATGGTGAGAGACAACCAGCTGTTCGACAGAGTGGTGAAAACACTGGCTGAGCAGGGCGTCAAGCGGGACAAAAAGCAGGTCACATCAAAGCTAAAGGTCCTGAAAAAGAAATTTCCTAAGTCTGACGTGCCTTCCGTCTGACGCTGAATGCGCGACCCTGTACGTCACATGCAGGGGGGGCCGCCCAGCGACCTCCCTTTATCCCTTCTTGGTTTGAGAGGTGCCTGAGGTGCTCTTTATTCTGCTCTCCCCACCTATTCCACCTTCCTCGGGATCCACTGATTTCCCTCTTTCCTATTCATTCTCTCTCTTTCTTAACATTTTTTTAATCACAATTGTCAATTTTTTGCTCATTTAAATATATTTTTAACCATTTTCTAAATTCTTTTTTACATTTTTACATTTTATGATTTTGTGAAGCGCCTCGTGATTTTTATCATGAGAGGTGCTATAGAAATGATATTTTCTTCTTCTTCTTCTAAGGCTGACGAGCCGATAGCAGATTATGCAGCAATGGATGATGCCTATCAGGGTAAATATAATGTTCTGTTTTATCAGCTACAACAAAAAAAGAAGTGTTTTTTATGTGGCATGGTTTCTTTTACAGTCAGAGTTCCTGAGGAAGGATTTAAAGGTGAGTGTTCCTTCATTCATTCCCATTTTCTCTGTAATGTCTCGTTTTTCCGGTCTGACGCTGACAAAGCACACTCCAGATGAAAACAGCTGACATGTTGTTTATGTTGAGTGTGTAATTTTTCATTTGTGTCCCTACAGGCACTGGGCTTCTCGGACACTGAGGAAAGCTCTTCTTTATTTCGTTTGATAGAAGTCAGACGTGTTTTTTTCAAGCTTGGATTTGTTAAATGTTATGCAAAAAGTGCTTTAACTATTATGTTTTGTTGAGATTTCCTTTGATAAAACTGTGACTCTTTTGCAAAGCTTCTGTTTTCTGCATAAAGGTCAAAAATGTTCTGAAGGACTGAGTCTGGAACTCTGAAGACAAGTAGCCTGTTGTTCTCATGAGTTTTTATTCTGTTTGACTGTCAGTCCAGAAACGAAACTTTTAATTGGGTTTGAATTGTGGTACATGGAAAATGCAAGCTCACTTTACAGTTTATTAAAGCTTTTGTTGTCACTGCAGGATTTACAGGTATGTCCAAATGATCCCTAATAACAGGTAATTATTACTTCTAGACGTTAAAACATGTTCAGCGTTCATGTACACTGTGAGGTGGTTAGAGTCGAAACTACGACCTGGTTTCAGAAGTGAGAAACAGGACCAGCTGTTATTTCTTATGAACAATAAAGCTATTTTCCAGGCAGTTGTTGAGTCTGTTATTATGGAAGCCCATTCCCAACACTCTGATTAAAAATCATCTTCAGGACTTAGCTAGGGGTGTGTCCGAATCCACGGGAAGGATGCTTGTAACCCCCAAATTCCACTACCTCCGCTCCGACACGAACACCGGAGCAAAATCGGTCCCATTGTAGTCAATCAGAGCAATTCCACTACTGCGGCCGTGCTTCGGCAGTGCGGTGCCGTGCGCCGCCCTCTGTTCCGGCGACCGGCAAAAATAGAATCGATCCTATTTTCGCCGGACGCCGGAGCACCTCCGCAGTAAATGGACAGAAATCACAACCGCCAAACAGGAAAAGGAGCAAGCACAACTTCCGTTTTTCACAATCAATCGATAAACAAAAGGCGTTTTTTGTTTCATATGCACAGGTTTAACAACTTTTAACAACTATCAATGGCGGTTGAACTTTAAATGCACAAAAATAAGCCATAAATACAGTTTCTACTATCAAAGTAGTCACCCTTTGTTGATCCAAACACTGCTGATCTCTCAACACAAATGATGGGCAGATTAAACAGTTCATGCCGATGCTTCTCCCACACAACGGGTGTTTGGATCTAACTTCCGCGTTTATTGCTCGGACTGTATCGCAAGATCTCGAAAATCCCGCGCATGCTTGTTTGCCCACCTCAGGTCTCCGCACCGGAGCGGAGCCGTTGTAGAGCGGGTACCAGTAAAAATTGAGTTCGGAAGCGAGCGGCTGCGGAAGGCGGGGGCGGACCGGAGCGGAGTGGAGTTAGTGGAATTTGGGGGTAAGAGTGCATTTTGAGGCCGATGACGTCACAGCGCAGCAACGAGTACTGTCCGAATTCCAAGAATACTTATTCTCACGTCCTCCAACTCGTCCTTGCTCCGCCCACATTTCCGAGGACGGGTCTGTTGTATCCTCACAGAACAAGGCTATCCCAGCAGACCCGTGGCTGGACGTTTCTGGTCAGAGGAACATCATACAGGACGGTCTGCAGAGAGCTTTGGGACGCTTCCTCTCACTGTCCACTCCATCGTCCATCTACAGGGCCTGCTGGGCTGGCTCAGACGACGGCTGTTACGTCTCTGTGAATGACTTGCCTGTTAGTGGTGGTCTGCTGGTACCTCCACCAGGACAGAGCACCACTGACCTCCTCCACACACATCTTCCTCAGGCTCATCCTCCAGACCCACAACTTCACCAGCACAGAGGCAGATGTGCAGCACAGTGCATGCTGACCTGTAATAGATTAAAAAATAGTTTTGTTTTTCTTTTATTGAAAAATGTAAAACAAAACATATAACCTGTTGTACACTGGTTCTGTTCAGTTTAAAGAAAAGCAGCAGGGAAAACTACAGAGAATTTTCATTTTTAAGACATATCTAATCATTATTAGGCTTAAGTTGAATAAACAAATGCAAATTGAAAACACTTCAATGCTATTTTATTAAAAAGCCTGTTTTTTGAAAACTTTTTACCCATTTGATGCAAAATAAGTTCTACGGTCCAATTTACATTAGAAAACATCCTACGACCAGATATCAGCTAGCTTCTGTCTTTCGTCAGGCAGGGATGCCCACTCTCCCCCTCACTGTTTGCTATCTTTATCGAACCACTAGCAGCAGCAATTAGGCAAACAACAGGTATTAAAGGGATAAAGTGCAAGAAAATAGAACATAAGATCAGTCTTTATGCAGATGATGTTTTACTCTTTCTCCAGAATTCTAAATCATCTCTCTCTCATTCAATAGAACTGAACTCTTTTTCAAAAGTTTCAGTTTACTCTACAAACTGGTTAAAATCCACAGTTCTACCAATTAATTTCTCATTTGTCAATTTACTTAATACACAATTGGAGTCAGGGAATATCACATACCTGGGAATTAATGTCTCTCCCTGTTGCAAGTTCCTGCGGGTCAAAAACTGTGGTCAGAAACAAGGGTCACAGAAGGGTCGCAGGGACAAGAGGTCAGAACTTGCTTCCGTGGACCAAACTGGGCAAAAGGTCAGGAAGCGTCTGGCCCAACCTCTGGCAGGAGAGATGGGACTGAAAGAAACAGAGTGAAAAGAGCTCATCAGAACGGAAGGCCTTCATGAAGAATGCTGGGCTTCGGAGGAAACTGAGGATTTGCTGCAAAGATGATGGCTGATGACCTTTGTTAAGCTGAAGAATCTTCATGAAGGATCCTGCATGTAGCAAAAATGATAACAAATGTCTTGTGTTGAGCTAAAAAGTGTGTAACTGGTAAATGACCCCATGACCTTACTATCATAAGATAATGATATATGTAACTAGAAAACTTTTTACCTTGTCTAAAGCTGACCCAAGAAGGGTATAAAAGGAGCAGCTCTGAGCAGAGCTGGGAGATGAGTTTTGGGGCAGACGACAGACACAGCAGACCTTGAAGACCAAGTTAGTGTAAGCCAACTCATTATTCTTAATTAATCATTAGGACGAATTTCTCCTTGGGGGAAGTCTTTAGTTTTATATTAACTCATTTTTGTATTTTTTAATCTTGTAATACATTTTTTGGAAAGAGATTCACATTCCTGATTCTTTCAGGTTCTTTTTAAAGCTTAAAGGTGGGAGCCCTGGCCATAAGAGGTAAGCACATTAATTATAGGTTCCTGAATTATCAGGATTTACTTTACGGTTTGTGACAGATTAATAAAAAGAAACCTTAAGATAAAGAAGCTTGTCTTCTCCTCTCCCACGAGTAACGAGATGTCTTAAGGATGATAAAACCAAAACATTAGGTTATTTTTGGCTCTGATTGCAAGTGTGAAAAAGTTTGCCAGCGCTGGGAGGTTGGATTAATTAGATAAATTGATAAATGTATGTTAGCCTGATCAACTAACAAGAATCATTTTATAGTTACCAACCGCCCACATAAGCTGACAGGGGCGCAATTAATCCTAATAACCCAAAGAATTGCCAGCGACGGATGGCCACCCGCCGGGCTTCGTCCCTAGTATCTGAAACCACCAGATAACAGTATTAATTAAAAAGGAAGTGTGCTCTCACAAAGAAACAAGTATTGCATATCATTTTACCTTAAAATAGAAGACTGATTCTAATTAGGAAGTCCAAAACCAGGGTCTAATACAACAAAACTCACCGACATCCCTATGAACCCTGAGAAAGTAGCACAGTCTTATAAGTTCTAACGGAACTGGGTTTTAACGGAACCAACAAATGGGACGTGCTCGCGACATGGCGCCGCAACCTGGGGCTACAGAGTGAAGGTCAAATATTAGATACCGGGCTTTTCGACGTAGAACTGTCTTCTAGGCTGACAAAAGCTTGCGCACAATGGACCTAATAAGCTTATAACCTTGGAGTGAAAACCGCACCAGTTTCTCGAAAAGGAAAGAAACCGGGAGAACGGACGATTAACTTAAATAGGTATAAAGAAATTACGGCTTTCCGACGCAAGAAAAGCCAAGGATAAACTAGGCAAAAATAAAAAGAAATAAAGAATAAGAATAAAAAAATGAGACGTAAAAACGAATAAAATAAAAATAAGAAAAACTTTTAACCAGCCATGGCAGATAGATCTTTAACGGTAAAACCGGAGAATATTCTCCTTAACGTGAGATTTGTAACCGGAGGGATAGCCACATATCAAGGTGAGCCGCAAAGCATTTTAGCAGTATCCTGTAATCGGAGCTTTCAGATTGAAGCAGGGACAGCTCGAGCAGCGGCTGAGCGCTGTCCGAATGCTGAAACCCAAGTAAGAAATGCTCACGTGTTTCCGTTAGTGGGAGATTTGGTACTTTTTGGAGAACAACAAAATGATCCTGCTTTTAATCAGATAGCGTGGTGCTGTTGGGAAAATCCAGCGAGCCTTTCCAAGGATGAACAGTATGAGATCCTTTTGGGATTGCTGGAGCAACTCCCAACTGGACCGGAACCTTTAGTTCTTACTCCATTTGGAGTCGGACAGTACCGATGTGACCCGGGAGCTATGTACTCTGCGATGGCAGAGTTCATGGTTCAACAGGCTAGTGGTAGAACAATATACATCTTATCTAGAAGCAAAAATGAGGCAATTCAAATGAGACAGGCATTATGTAACCGACTGGGAGTCACAGAGCTCCAAGCGGAAATGTACCGAAGGAGGGCTGCGGTTGAAATCTCATCCTCATGGGATGAGGACCCACCGATACTGACTGCGCCTCCTTTATATCCAGCTCTCCGCGGGGAATTCCCTGTGAGCCCCAGTTCCGAGAGCGGATTTCCTGCACCCCCACCGAACCCGCCTGACTCGGTTTGGCCGGCGCAGTGGAACCCGTTTCTCCATGCACAAACCCCTTCTCAGGTGCCCATGAGAGGAGCGGGGAGATCGCCCACTGAACAGCATGTTGCTGCGTGGGACAAAGACGAGACCCAGAGACGGTTAGGGGCTGAAAGGACTCCAAACCCAATTCCTTTTCCCCCGTTAGAACCGCATAGTCCCGCGGCTCCTCCGAATCATGTTATGATAGGTCAAGAGCCGGTGATAATTTTGTCAGGCGAAAAAATAGATGCGGAGCTCCGAGAGGAAGATGTGTTGATCTTTCTGAAAGATCCACAAAGTTCTGCCGGTACCACGTCCTCTCTAAGCTCTCTAAGGAGACTCTTAGGAGGGGAAGGTAGAAACTCCATGATCCCGCTGGTAGATCGTAAATACGAAGCAGGAGAAATTACTACTCTTTTAGATAAGCAATTAGGGAATCTGGAAGGTCGTGTCAGCACTATTTCCATAATTAACGTAGACCCCTATGACCACGACGTCACTTTCCACCAAGCTTGGGAGCGGGTAGTGTCAGAAGCCTTGGATTTAGGAGCGCGACGGCTAGTGCTAAATCTTAATAACAAACCCCAGGTGTGTCGAATAACTGAGGCTTATGGTGCAGGTTTGATGGTTTATTCTGAAGCCTCCAGCAGGCTCGGAGACATTCCGGTCGTAATTTTAGTGGATAAATCAACCTTGCCGCGAGTAGAGAAGAAAGT